GTTCTGTGATTCTGTGATTCTGTGTAATATTATTCTTAACAGCTTTAAGATTGTATGTATTCACAAATAAATACATAAAATAAACTGCTAAAACTTTTGACTTTGGATGTATAGAAAAGCAACTTCACCTAAGCGATCAATATAAATATAGTTGGAAAGGACAACAGGATGGTTGGAGGACTGAGAAGGTAAGACAGTTAAACTTTGCACTGTACCTTACTGGTTATAGCCTCCAAAATTATAATAGTGCAATGGCAACTCATGTTCCCCTCCTGACATGAGGGAAAGCAGTACTGCATTTGCGCATAAGGCTTGCATAACATTGGTGGCTGTCATCTAACTCATTTAAATGAGTTTTAAAATACTTAAAATTTTCTCACAGGTCTCTAAGGTAGGGGATGAAAAGTCCTACTTAGCTCAATTAAAGTCTTCCTACATAATAAAGGCACATAAGTGCCTGATGAGGATTAGTCAGACCTTATTTTCAGTTGTTTGTTAACAATGCTATGTGTATTAATGGCACTGCTTTTTCCGCTTTCCTAGGCAGCATCGAGAGAATGGGATTTGTTACACTAATGCTAAAGTGACACTAAGCTTCTAATTCCTTCTGTGGAGCTGTTTGCTGAAAGAGGAAGCTGCAGTACTGAAAGCAGTCAGTGCTTGACTGCATGAGGCCATGCCTTTCACAGAAGATGAACGATGTCTTAGTTCAAAACTTTATGAAATGCAGACTCACTTAAATCCTTTAAATGCTCTCAAGTTTCTTCTTTGCAAGGCAACCATAAACCAGTGATTGACTTTTCTTAGAGCTGTTACTTCAATAATGGGGGAGAGGGAAAGCTAAGCTTCCTACTTAGGTATGTACAAGATGTCTTGCTCTCCTTTTAGATTAGGATTTGTAGTTTGATTTACTAGGAAAATCACAGAGGTCAACTTAAAAAAATTTTTAAAAAGCAGTAACTTTCTTTTAGCATATAGAGTTTTTTTTCTTCCTAGTAGTAGGAAGTAAAAGTGCCTTTTTAGATACATGGTGAACTAAAACTTAACATGTAGCTGTTATATACAGAACCATTTTTATACACAGCTAGAAATAGGTAGCGTGTGAAAACAGGAAGTCAATATAAGAGAATGCAACAGCAAAGTAAGCAAGTAATTCATACCTGTCACTAAACCAGTAAAATAATTGCTTACAAAGGCAAACACTGAACTGATTTTAATTAAATTAAGCAGCTCTGCTGCATGGCATTCAGACTGCTCATAACTGTATCTTCAACTCTATACTACTGAAGTAAGACATACTTCAGGTTGTTAAACTTGTGTGCTTTAATGATTTAAATAACAGACTGAATATTTTGCTTTATTTTGTATGTGCCTAAAGATACATTAAGATAAATAGCAACCTGTCCTGGTTTTACTCAACAGTGCTTGACAGTTGCCTGCATGATCCAAAAGGGTGGTTAGACTACCAAGATTCCTTTACTTGGATAAGTACCAGAACCTCAGCTTTACTAAAATGGAATTAAGTTTTTCCCATTTTAGAAGAGCATACCTATCCAGTATATGCACAAGATAGTATGAAGAAGCACACTGCTTAAATTGACAATTATTTATGATGTTTAGGAACATTCAATAAATACTAAGCTTTTAGCTTCAGTTTGGCAATTCTTCTCCATCAAATATCAGTTTGTGGTTGGTTGGTTGTTTTTTTCCTGGCATAAACTCCATTGCCAGCAATGGATGTATCAGAACAAGAAGTTGATAAATAATACACACAGACAGCAATTTTCTAAACATACCTCCTCTTTTAAAGGCATGATACAGATTTACTAAACAAATCTCAAGCAAGTTCTTCATAGAAGAAAATTTTGCCATCTCTGAACGTTGTTTTCTTCATCAATGCTGGTAGTTTATTTCATGGAATACAGTATTTACTTTGAACAGTACTGATTAATCACTTAAAACCAAGTTATTTCCCCCTTAAGGTAAGCTAAGACATGTAACTAGTAGTGAAATGTATGAATTTAAGAGTGGTGTACCTCTTGCTGAACATTTCATGGCAATCATTAATAAACATACAAGAGACAAAATCGCAGTACCATACTTTGTTAGTAGGCGTCCAGGGTATTTACTTTTTTGCTCTGTTTTGTTTGTTTGTTTCAGCTTGCTTTTAAATCACTGTTCAAATATTAAAAGTATCATATTTAAATTTAATCCATGTTTTGCTTGACTTTCCATGAAGAACTATGTTAAAAACACAACAGAAGGAACTTTGTGCTCACAATGTGAGTTGCTTTCAAGTACTTAAAATTTAATATCCCCCTAAATTCCATTCATATTAAAAATGTGGTTTTTATAAAAGCATGAAGACTAAAGAAAATCAATTAACATAATAGTTAATTTTGTATCATTTTTTCCACAACTGTATTTTACATATCAGCAAACTTCTGCTTTAGCAAAAGAAAATAAGAATAAAAATAAATTATCTCCCAACTATTTATACACAGGAATTGCCCCTGCTGTGGGACCAGATACTTTACTCTACAGGCCCTCTAACCCAAGGCGTAATCTTGGGTGTATCTCTTTGTGATTTAGGTTCTTGGAAGTTTTCAGCAAACCTTTCTCTTGCTTTATCCCAGTTCTTTTTGTTCTTGCTCTGGATGATCTGAACATCTTCAATTGAGGCTGGTCTGCTGGTACCCAAACCTGCATGCGTCTTATGTAACTGAAGGTGGATCTGTCAAATACATTAAATATTGTTATCGCTACAAGTCAGGTACTCTAAATACTTTAAATCATTTTTTATATTACTAATTCCACCCCCCCCTCCCCAAAGGCTTCTCTTTTAATACTCTAATATACCTAGATTGTGCATGGATAGCTAAAGTAATGTTAAAATGATGTGTGAAATCACCACCTCTAGAATTATGATGTAGAGTGCTGAATGGGAAGTACTGCTCACTGAGTGAACAGCAGATGACCCGTGTGCTGGGTAGTTTGACAACAAAAGGTATAGTGTTGCTCTGAATAGCACTACTGCCAAAAGACAACATGTCTCGGGTGACAAAAATGGGGCTAACATGGCTGCCATAGAGGCCCAGAATTCAGTGGTTACAGTAACCTTCAGCCAGCTTTTCCTCTCTCATGGCCTGTCAGCTAGCTTGATTTTTGTGCTACATCAGCCTTAGAGAAAGTGAAGAATTTTACCATAAGCCCATCTTGAATACACATCACTTAAAATGATTTCAGTCTTCCTTCAGACTTTGTATTAAAAAATGAGATTATTAATTCAATGGCTAGAAGCTGTCCTCCCTTGCTTAGCTTCCTGACAAACAATGGCATTTTCTACTAAAGGAACAAAATTGAAATTTTTAAAAAAATACTTCATTAATCAAGTAAACATTTATTTGAGATTAGGCCTCCTGAGATTATTACTTCCTAACCAGGATTTTGAAATGTTTCTCAAGTGAAGAGTGGCTTACAATTAGAAGTTTTTCACTACAAAAATGTTTTAATGCGTTTTTGCTACAAGTGAAAACCAGAAAGACCTACCGGATCCTTCATACCACCACCATCCTTGCCCAGGCCCTCTCCCTTCTTCCATCCCATCTTCTCCAACATTTTATGTCCTTTGTTGCTGTTGCTGATTTCACTTTAAAGAAAGTTTAAGATAACTGATAAGGAAGAGTTAATACAAAGAGTATGCTCTCTAGTCAAATACTGAGGGACAGAAATGTGCAAGCATATACTTCTCTAGAAACCAGGACTTGACTACTATGCTGTTCCTACTTCCATTAAAAGCTAGCCAGAAGACCCTAGTGCTACTTTTTGCAAGTACTTCCATGAATATCTTCAGTTGCCAATGCTATTCCAAGCCTTTGGTCAATACCAACTTTCTTAAAACTTCTGAACTACTTGCTTACGTTAGGAGTTAAAAGACACAGCACAGGTGGGTTGGAATTGACTGCGGTAGGGAAAAGGCAGTATTGCCACCTCACCACATCATCCTAACACACATATTTCATTGTCTTACACTTCCTTTTAATAACTTGCAAGCATCTACAAATTCATGTTTCTTAAAAAACCCCACTCCAACTACAGAAGCAAAGCAATAATAAAAAAGGAAGATTAAAGTTGTCATTTAAGAGGTATGTAAATGCCATGCCTTATGATAGGCTGGATATTGATAATGAAAGAAACTGCAGGTGAAAAATCTTCATATGTACTGTTACTGGATAGTAAAAAGCAGAAATTGAGACACTTAAAAAATGGATGCTATTGAAGGTGCAGCTGGAGAGTTAATTGATTTTTTGAATTGCTAAGAAAGCAATCTAAGCATCCTCACTACCAAGTTGAATTCTGCATGGAAGGTGAGGAGTTAAAAAGGCATCTGAAATAGCTTACTATTTCTAGCTCACCTAACATACTATATACAGGTAATTAATTATCCAACAAACTATCCTAGTAACTAACTGGTACTTTATTACAGTTTTTTAAGATTCGCTAGAGAAGGACATACCTCCTCCTCCCCCCAAAAAACAACACAAAACAACTTACATATGAACAGAAGCTGGACTATCATCTCTCTGGAAAGTTCCTTCACTTCCAACGGTCTCTCGGCGTTTTCCTGCTCTGTCTTTGTACTTTGGGTTCTTCACTGCTTTGTTGTCTTCATACTCTGTGTTCTTTATAAATTCCATCAAGACAAAGAAACCAGGCTTTAAATACTTTATTTTTGATAACTTCAATGCTTCCCTCCAAAAGTAAGGCAGCTTCAACCTATTTAATTCTAATTCTTATAACAAAAACTATAGTTCTTATTTAGAAAATTCTTACTACAGGTAAGGTACGTTATTGCCATCATCACATAATAATGTGGCATTGCCAAATTCACTAATTTCACAGAGGCTATACATAAAGTAACATATTCTCTTGAATCTTCTCTTGGTATGAAGAATCAGTCTCTCCATATTAAGCAGAAAACCATATGGACGTTCCACTAGCTTTTTGTTTAAACATTTATACTGTTCCCTCAGCAACTGTTTCTTCTGAACTAAGCATGTATATAGACTCCACATTGATATTACTTTGGTAGCTGAAGAATTTGAGAGAAATGATGGCATTCTGTTTTCTACACGAATACTTACTACAAATGCTAGATGTAACCTCATTGAATAAGCTCTAAAACAGATGTAACTTGAATACTTGTATACTATACTGTTTGTACATTCATGTTGTCATTCTTGTATGGCAAAGGAGACTTAAAATACATTTAATAGAACTTTAATGCCCTGTTACATCATCTCTGTCTGTAGAGGTTTTTAAATAGTTACTATTTAGTGTACAAAAGACAAGTTTGAGTTAAAATTACCAGGCTCAAGTTTGAGTGCATTTGAAGACTTTCCTTATTCACTGAAGTCTATGGCTTAAAATAGGAATCACAAAGTAGATGTAGACTTCAAACACTTTACCAACTTCCACAGTAAACTCACCTGTAAACCATATTTTACCCGTATTTGTTTTAATGCTTTTCTTCTGACTAACTCTTTTTCTTCTTTGCTAAGTGCTGGGCAAACTAAAAAGAAGAACACAAGAATTGAATTTCTAATTAATAATGGACCAGTATTTTAAAACATAAGACAACTGTGAGACTTTTTGTTCCAACACACCTAGACACAGATACCAAGAAGAAAATACATCAGCACGTATTGTAGAACTATTCTCAGTTGACAAGAAGACTAAGAAAAGTGAACTAATAATTATGTTTATAAAGTAAAGAACCATAATAAAAAATATATTCCATGATAAAATGACTAACCAGAAGATTCCTTTTTCCTGTCCAGGCGAAGATGTGCTCTGACTTGTCCTGGTTCACATCCATCACAAGTATCACTGCCAGGATGTATATGAAAAGAAAGCACAGTTTCACCAATCTTCACTTCATCTCCATGCTCCAAGATGTAGGGATGACATTTTGCTTTAGGCTACAGCAAAAGAAAGTTTTGGCAGCCATGTTAGTTCCTAATGAAGGGCACAAACTCAATTTCATGAATACTACTCATAATTTACTACTTCAGTTTGGTCTCACAAAAGCAGGCAAGTATTTATCTACAGTGGGTATTTCACTCTAGCAATTGCAACAATAGTGGATTCTTCCTAACATAAACCAAACATGGAGTATTGTTAAGTGGTCCTAGAAACAGAAGGGAAGCAAGGAAGAGACTAATGCATGAAAGAAGTCATACAATGACACTGTTAGTGATTTGTCATGACATATTTAAAATGACCACATGACTACAGTTTTCTGCAATGCACACACCCTTATAACAACAGGTACTCACCTGGAGAATCTGATTTCCATTAACGACTGTTCCATTCTGACTGCCTTGATCCACAAGAACATAATTTTGCAAATCGTGGTCAAAATACACTTCTGCATGGAACTGATAAACAGAAGTGAAATGTTCATACTAAGCAAATACTTCACAATTTATATGCTATTTTAAAGTAAGATTTCAGAATATATTTTCAGTCCTTTAAATCAGTGGCTCTGGTACTCAGAGTACACCTTACGATTTCATCCATGTGAATTGTAAATTAATAGGCCACAACAGCATAAGCTTAAGTATACTACTAACAATATAACTATTTTGAACATAAACTGGTTCAGTACTGGAAAAGTATATATTTCCAACATGGCAAGTATGCTTTACTTAAAGGACTGCAAGATTCAGAAATACAGCATTTTTAACTGTTCTTATAAATAAAAGGCTTTTTTTCTTCTAAGAAACTTTTTACAACACTCAATTTTTTCTCTTTCAATTAAAAAAAAAATCTGATCTCATTCTACAGCTTCAGGTTACTTGGTGTCTCATATTTGAAGTAGCTCCCTAAATGCCACAGTTTTGTAAATTCCACATAATTCACCTTTTATCTGTATGTTAATGCCCAGAACACAACAACTAGCTATCATCTGCTATTCCTTTTATATCCTTTCTGATATTGAGACTAACAATGTAATTTTTGTTTGCTTTGTTGTTGCAGTTCTATATATGTATTGCTCCCAAGCCGACATAGAACAGAAATCACAACTTCTGGCCAAACTCACAATCCAAAAATGGCCACTGAGAAAAACTGAAATACTAACTTGAACAAACAGAGAAATTAACTTTTGTGGGCTACTAAGACTCCTAGTGAAAACCAGAAGTCTAAAAAAGAGACAGTTTCAAATTTGACAAGCAAAGCTCCCTTTTGCTATGGTAGAGAAAAAAACCAAGAGTAAATCTGGGAAGAAAGTGTTCATTTAAACACAAATATCTTCTTATCTTTGACTAATAGAAGTTGTTACATTCAGTGCTAAAAAAAAATAAAAATTTGTAGATCGAGAATACTCCTATAATGGTGGAGACTGACTAGCTCATTCGATAGGTAATTTAATTTGTACCTCCAGTTTTATTGAATAGGATGAACACAAACATCTGAAGATGCTAAATCTGCAGTATGTAGTGTTGTTTTTTAAAAATCTCACTTTACACTCAAGAAAAGCAAATACCTAATGGTCCACAGCTATTAACTACGAATAGTGAGGAAAACAAACTGGTAGTTAACTTTTTGTTTTTACAGATCTGTAATTTATCTTCCTGCCTCCCTATCTGTCAAGTGAAAAAACTTCTTATATAAACAGTCAGGTATCCATGAAATACTAAAATGGTAACTTTACAGAAAAAGAAAAGCTTTTTGGCTTCTTTATGCACCCAATTTCAAATATATGTCTGAAAAAGTCATTAATAGCAGGGAAAGATCTGCTCTGGAAATTGTTAAGTATGAAATACAGTACATGGCTGACTGATCAGAACTATCATCTGGAACAGACATAGTAAAGGCTATTTCAGACACCTGCATTTGCAGATGTTTTTATCACTTTTTTTTGTTTGGATGACACGCCTTTGTCAATCTACATTTTTCTTTTTTAATAGTGCTGTATTTATGGTCTTTGTTAAAGTAGTTAGCAAAAAGAGCACATAATTTGTCTCTAATCTTTCTTAACCAGAAGAAAAATTTTCAATTACAATCTGTCACTGAAAGAAATTGTTACATTTTTTAACTCCCTGTACATCACTTATTATTTATACAGTTGCCTTGAAGAAAAAGAAAATAAAACCTGTTGCTCTGAGCTCAACTGCAAGAACTGCATTACTTTATGACAAAGTTCTAACTAGCTGATATAAATATTCTATATACCATTAGTAAATAATAGAGTAATAACTTTTTCCTCAAGTGCAGTAACTAAGAAATTAAAGATTCAAAGTATATATTTTTTTACTGTGCATTACATTGTGGATTAGTAAAACTTCAATTTAAAAAAATACTTAGCTTTTCTAGACTTTGAAGTCACACAGCTGTTTGTGTTAAATTCCCATTCAGTAAAATACTGTATGTTTTCCTTTTTCTAACTTCAAATGTGGCTAAACCCACATTTCATTCTAGAAGGTCTTTAAAACAATAACATAAGATTTTGCAAAATTTAAAGCCATAAAATCTAAAGCTTCATTCATAGGTTGATCTATCTTTCAGCAGACAGAAACAAGAGTTACCTTGCTGACTCCAACTTCAGGAATCTGAAGTGTGTGTCCAACATCTTTTTCTCTGGAAAGACAAGTTGATGTACGAGTCACAGAAAAGTAGAAACAGATCTAATAAGTGGCTTACAAAAAGTGTATTTCAGTTGAACCTTTATACCATGTTACTCTTCTGAGCTATTAGGGAGCTTTAGAGAGGTGAAACATTGTGTTGCTATATACACAATGTAAAGACTTGCTATGGGTCCCTTCTTCTATCTATAAACTTTACACAGTAGGCAATTAATATATGATAAAGCTATACCATTAATCTTTTATCTATAAACCTGACATTTCTATCTGAACTTTTATACTCATACAATGCCTGCAAATCACAGTCTCTGCATCCTTCAGGCTCTTCAGTGCATCTTGGCATTAGTCTTCAATGCTGAAGTTGAATTCTTGGTAGCATTAGGCAGGTAATACAAGCAATTCAAAAGTAATCTGTATAGATTTTTTTTTCTAGTCAAAACACTGCAGTAGGAGGAAGAGATTTGTGTATTAGTTTCTAATACTAGAGGATGAAGAAGCAATGCAACTAGAAAAGGACCTACATGTAAATTGCAAGAATTTTCATCTGTTAATCTTCATGTAAATGTGCCTAGAAAACTCCAGCTGCAAGAACAAATCAAAACACATCTATCAGCATTAGATAAAAGCAGCTGAAATGGGGTGAGGTTTACAGTAAATGTGGAAGAAAGCAATAATTCATCATTAAATTCATCATCCACAATGAACAAACCAGATTTCCTTTCTGAATATTAGAACTGGAAGAATGCATACAGGCTGGCACAAAACCCAAATTAGTCTTTAAAAACAATGAACCAACACTATTGGAAATTGAATGTGTAAGGAAGTCCATGATATGCGTCCTTTTGGTCCTGAATTTCTGAAATGTGTTCTCCCATTTCTGAAAAAGTTACCTCAGTGGCCCAGAAAAAAAGTTTACTTCCTAAAAAATAAGTTTTCAAAGAATGACTTGCAGCTATGTCACCATTAGGACTCAGACAAAAGTTCAAGTTAGCGATAACAAATATTCATGACTGCTGAGCTATATTAACTGCATATGCTGTTACCATAGAAAGCATGACGTTATGTGACATGACTTAAATTTCTTACTGTGGGCTAACCTAACTTAGGGTACCTCACAACTGCTGCATGCTAGGAGGACGAGCATGAAGAGCAGGGACATGCAATCCTGAGTGGCTTCCACAGTTTTCAAAGCAAGGCAGAATTTCAGATACATACAAAAAATTCCTTTCAGTTTTACCTTCCAATTGTAGCAGGTTTCACAGCTGTGATAATATAAAGTGATCCAGTCTGTAGAACTGGTGATCTTATTACAATTACTCTGATACAAGGAGGCCAGATCTTTTCTTCATCTGTAATGATAAAAAATACTTTTACTACCAACAAATTAGTTTTACCCCTGTAGTCCATAGCTTTCAAACAACTGATACACATTCAGTCACTATCTAGCTGAATCCTATGCAACTTTCAAAAATAGAAATGTATAAGTACATCTGAGAGAAAACTTTGATGAGACTACTGTTTCAATACTAAAGTATTAAAAGTGTCAATAACCAGAATTAGGAAAACAAGTACATGACTGTTTAACTACAGCAATAAAATATAAATGCATCAACAGAATCTATTAGTATGTTATGAGTTAATGATCTATGGAAGAAGAGGCAGGCATCTCAGGAGTACAGGGCTACCGT